CATGCCTCTTGCCATTCTGGGCGGACAAAAGGGTTCGAGTACTTCTCCAGGCGGTTCACGAAAAAGAATGAGTCACGCAGCTGTTTCCCAAAGACGATCTGGGCTGGTGAAACGTTGCCGTCCGGATTCGGGGTGTTGCGGAGCTGCAGCAGCGCACGTAGCAACCTGTCATTGTCTAACACGCCTGTCGGACCAACATTTGACCGTAGGAGACGCTTTGCTGACTTCACGGCCACTTCCGCCCGCCTATTTGACTGAGGGTGGTGAGCGGATGAGACTCGGTGGCTGATGCCCCAGCGGTAGAGGAAGTCGCGAGTGGCGCTGGCGGTTAATTCCGGCCCTCCGTCACTGGATAACTCCTCCGGCACCCAAATGTCGCAAAGAATGAGCGAAGACTTGCAATGAGGCCCATAGCTCCTGCCCGTGGCGATCCCACCGGGGACGCAAAAATCTCGACCCATCCAGAGAGGCGGTCTCCCACCACGAGGTAATTGTGCCCACCAAAATCGAGGAAATCTGCAAACACACCTGCAAACGGTGTGGATGGTGGTGTTGCCGGCGTGGACGGAAGAGGTGCTTGGGAAGGAGCATTCTTGTTGCACTCATCGCATTCCGCACGGATTTTGTTAATATCGGCAGTGATGCCAGGCCAGAAGATCATGGCTCGTGCGCGAAGTTCCATGGACGACACGCCCTAGTGAGCTGCATGCAAGTTCTCCAGCACGGAACGGCGGAGTGATGGCGGCATCACAACACGATCCTCATACACAACGACGTTGTCTAGGACGTAGAGGCCGTCACGATATTGCCAATAGAGCGCAACGTGTGGGAGGAGGCGGTCACTCTCCTGGAATCCATTCTCAATTGCACAGCGAAAGGCGGATATAGAATCGTCTTTCTCGGACTCTATGGCAATGTGCTGCCAAGAGATAGAGGACAGTTCCTTAGTTTCACGTCGGAATGCCGCTGAGATCGCTGGCTCAACCATGTCTCCCACACCGATACCTGCCATCTCGCTGGATGGGGATGGATGACGAGATGTCGCGTCGGCAGCGAAGTTCGTCTTGCCAGGTAGGTGGGCGATACGGAAGTGCCAAGGGAGGGTTCTCTGCTTAAGAGCAAGAGAAGAGCCGGAGGACGAGAGATAGAGAGAGAGAGAAAGAGAGAAAAAAGATCGAAAGAGAGAAAAAAGAAAGAAAGAAAGAAAAAGAGACAGAGAGAGAGCGCGCGCGCAATAGCGAGAGCGAGATGAATCGAGATAGAGAGAAATACACAGCGAGTAGCTTGCCACGGGCCCGACTACTTGCTACTGCTACTTGCGACTGCTTGCTACTTGCTACTCAGCCAGGACTTCAGTAGTTCATATTTCATTCAGTATTGATATTTCATAGGTTGAGAACATCTCGCGTGGCGGCGCTGCTGTCGATAGAAGATAAACGTAGCCAGAGTCTTGTCACTATAATATATAATGTATTTTTCCTCGGTTGAGTGTAACGAATAAGATGAAAAATTATTTCCCTTGGCTTTGTGACGCGCCATAGATGGGGCGGCGGTAGCACAAGGAACTGGCGGGAATCCTACCAGGTTGTAGTCATTCAGCTTGGGGTACCACGGCTGAGAGGACGTATTTTTTTGTAGGAAATTTTGTTTATTTGTTCCCGTTGTTGTACATGTTGTGTACAAGACGGTCATTTGACTGTGAAGGACCGCGGGGTATATAATGGGATTGTGATATGCATGTATATTTATATTTCAGCGGTATACCCCAGTGCTACAACAAATAACAATAAATGACATTTATTGAAGAGAATTGGTTGTTGTCATCTATGGATAGTCAGTGGTTCAAGGGAACTGCTCTCTGTGCGTGGCTGTGGCAATGGCTTGCCAATTGATTGTACAAGCCGTCCACCGGGCGGCGCCACTAGATAGAGAGCGAGAGAGGGGTGAGAGAGAGAGACAGACACACATACACACGCGCGCAGTGGCGTAGTTAGGGGGGGGGGGCAAAGAAAGACATGCCCCCCCCCCGTTGATCCGAAAGTAAAAAAAAATTGTTTTACTAAAAAGAGAATTGTCCTAATCAGAATGAAGGCTGTACATGAACTCAAAAATGCCTCAAATACCATCTCCTGCGATCAACATTTAAAAAAATTCCCCCCGCCGCTTGTTTTTAACCCCCCCTTTATATCTTGGTAGCAGAGAACAACGAACAAAAAT